GCGCTCAGGTACCTGCAGGACCAGGGGGCCCTGGACGAGCACGAGAACCTGACCCCCATCGGGCACCTCTTGGCTCACCTGCCCGTCGACGTGGTGGTGGGTGAGTGCTGCGGGCACACCTGGGTGAGCCTGAGCTCACCTGAGCCCACCTGAGCTCATCTGAACTCGTTGCCCTCACCTGAACTCATGTAAGCTTACCTGAGATCACCTGAGCCCACCTGAACTCACTGCTCTCACCTGAACTCATGTGAGCTTACCTGAGTTCACCTGAGCCCACCTGTCCTCACCTGAACTCACTGTCCTCACCTGAACTCACCTGAGCCCACCTGAGCTTAGTGCTGTCCCCTCAGCTTACCTGAGCTCACCTGCTCTCACCTGAGCTCACCTGCCCCCCCCCTCACCTGAGCTCACCTGCTCTCACCTGAGCCCACCTGAGCTTAGTGCCATCCCCTGAGCTTACCTGAGCTCACCTGCTCTCACCTGAGCTCACCTGAGCTTAGTGCTATCCCCTGAGCTTACCTGAGCTCACCTGCCCTCACCTGAGCTCACCTGCTCTCACCTGAGCTCACCTGCCCCCCTCTGCCCTCACCTGAGCTCACCTGAGCTCACCTATCTGCCATAGGGGCGGGACAAGGGGTGGAGGGGGTCACCTGCCCCCCCTCACCTGTGCCCAGGTAAGGCGCCGGCCCCGTCGTCCCTTGTCTCAGCTGCCCTTTGCTCACCTGTGCCCAGGTAAGGTGCTGGTCCTGGGCTCCCTGCTGCACCTGTCTGAGCCCACCTTGACCGTGGCGGCCGCCCTGAGCGTCCCCTCCCCCTTCCTGCGCCCCGCCCACGCCGGGCACACCTGGGCCGACGCCCGGCGCCACCTGGAGAGCCCCCACGGGGACCCCCTGACGCTGCTCAACCTCTTCAACCAGTGGCTGCAGGTGAGACTCACCTGGGCACAGGTGTGGGGGGTGGGGTTTGGGGGTTCAGGTGCCCCCCTGATGTGCCCAGGTGTGCCCAGGTGTGCCCAGGTCACCTGGGGGGCAGGTGGGGTGCAGGTGGGGTGGGGGAGAGTCGGGGTTTTGGGGGTTCAGGTGCTTCCCAGGTGTACCCAGGTGTGCCCAGGTGGGGTGGTTTGATGTGGGGCTGGTCTAGGGGTTCAGGTGCCCCCCAAATGTGCCCAGGTGGGGTGGTTTGAGGTGGGGCTGGTCCAGGGGGTTCAGGTGCTCCCCAGGTGTGCCCAGGTGGGGTTGGTTTGAGGTGGGGCTGATCTGGGGGGTTCAGGTGCCCCCCAGGTGTGCCCAGGTGTGACCAGCTGTGCCCGGGTGGGGTGGTTTGAGGTGGGGCTGATCTGGGGTGTTCAGGTGCCCCTCAGGTGTGACCAGGTGTGCCCAGGTGTGCCCAGGTGGGGTTGGTTTGAGGTGGGGCTGGTCAGGGGGGTTCAGGTGCCCCCCAGGTGGGGTGGTTTGAGGTGGGGCTGGTCTGGGGGTGCTGGTGCCCCCCAGGTGTGACCAGGTGCGCCCAGGTGAAGGCCGAGCGCCACGGGAGCTCCCGCCAGTGGTGCCGCCGTCGGGGGGTGGCCGAGCACCGGCTCTACGAGATCGCCGACCTGCGACGCCAGTTCCAGGTGAGGCAACACCTCTCCTGTCCAGCTTCTCACCTGTCCAGGCCCTTACCTGCCCACTGACCCATGGCCACACCCTCACCTGCCCAGGTGAGCCCCTCCTACCTCACCTGTGCCCCGCCCCCAGGAGCTGCTGCAGGAGCACGAGCTGCTGGAGGAAGGTTCCGGAAGGTCCGAGCGGCGCCGGGGGGGGCGGCGGGAGCGGCACCTGCTGAGCCACGCCCAGCGCGCAGGTGAGCGGCGCCCGCGGGTGCTGCGGCTGCACCTGAACGAGGAGGACGAGGAGGAGGAGGAGGAGGAGGACACCTGGGAGAAGGGCGGCGTCGACATCCGGGTGAGCCCCTCACCTGTGCTGGGTGAGCCCCTCACCTGTGCTGGCACCTGTAATCCAGGTGAGCCCCTCACCTGTGCTGGGTGGGGCCTTGTTAATCCAGGTGAGCCCCTCACCTGTGCTGGGTGAGCCCCTCACCTGTGCTGGCACCTGTAATCCAGGTGATCCCCTCACCTGTGCTGGGTGGGTCCTTTGGAGTGTCCAGGTGATCCCCTCACCTGTGCTGGGTGGGGCCCTGTGAGTGTCCAGGTGATCCCCTCACCTGTGCTGGGTGGGGCCCTGTGAGCGTCCAGGTGATCCCCTCGCCTGTGCTGGGTGGGACCCTCTCAATACCCAGTTGATGCTCACCTTTGGGTGCCCAGGTGATGCTCACCTGTGCCAAGTGGGGCCCTCTCCATGCCCAGGTGATGCTCACCTGTCCCAGGCAGGGCCCTCTCAATGCCCAGGTGGCGCTCACCTGTCCCAGGTGGGGCCCTCTCAGTGCCCAGGTGATGCTCACTTGTCCCAGGTGTGGCACTCTCACTGCCCAGGTGACGCTCACCTGTGCCAGATCGGGCCTTCTCAGTGCCCAGGTGACGCTCACCTGTGCCAGGTGGGGCCCTCTCACTGCCCAGGTGACGCTCACCTGTGCCAAGTGGGGCCCTCTCAATGTCCAGGTGATCCCCTCACCTGTCCCAGATGGGGCCCTCTCAATGCCCAGGTGACGCTCACCTTTGGGTGCCCAGGTGATGCTCACCTGTGCCAGGTGGGGCCCTCTCAGTGCCCAGGTGACCCTCACCTGTCCATCCCGCAGGACGTCCGGTTCCAGCTGCGCCACGACCCTCGGGAGCTGCGGCTCACCTGTGGGGCTCACCTGGCCCCGCCCCAGGTGGCCCTGCTGGGGCTGGTGCTGGCCCGGGGGCTGTACCCGCAGCTGGCCCTGCCCGACCCCCTCAACGGCTCCCGGCGCGACTCCGAGCAGGTGAGAACCCCTCACCTGGGCACAGGTGAGTCACCCCTCACCTGTGCCAACTCACCTGTACCCTCTCACCTGTGCCATCTCACCTGTGACCCCTCACCTGTGCCAACTCACCTGTCTCTTCTCACCTGTGTTCTCTCACATGTAACCCCTCACCTGTGCCAACTCACCTGTGCCCTCTCACCTGTGACCCCTCACCTGTGCCAACTCACCTGTGCCAACTCACCTGTCCCCTCTCACCTGTGCCATCTGATCTGTGACCCCTCACCTGTGATCCCTCACCTGTGCCAACTCACCTGTGCCAACTTACCTGTCTCGTCTCACCTGTGACCCCTGACCTGTGCCAACTCACCTGTACTTTCTCACCTGTGCCTCTCACCTGTGACCCCTCACCTGTGATCCCTCACCTGTGCCAACTC